ACTGCGACAGAGACCTGTGGTGAATATTTACAAATTAAAACAATTTAAAATAATAAAAGCAATTTAAATAAATCAGATTCCTATCAATGAAGTTGACACATTAAAAAAGGTTAAGAAGGGTAAAGCAATTTCACAAGGAGTGGGGAGGGTTTACAAAAACACAAAGTCATCACATAATCTCTGCAGTAAACAAAGAAATGTGCTACCATTAGACAGCCTTGTTTCTCTTTTGTGCTACCGGATTTCTCTCTAAATCCAATAGGTCATAGGAGAGAACAACATTATCTGTTAATAATAGCCATATATTTAGAATAAGAATGATTCATCTAGTGATGCAATCTGTGACTTCTTCTTAGAACACAAAATTGTTTTACATACTAAATAAATATTTTACTTCCAGTTTTTTAGGGGGTGGTGGGAGTTGTGCCTTGGGTATAAACCATCTTGTGCTTGTGTGGAAAAATGCCCCCTTAACCAGTAGAAGGTATAAAAGCATATTTCCTGTAAATAAATCTGAATAAAATTGTGTATCAGCAGGTTATTCTTCATCTGGTGGTGGCCCATCCTTAACAGGGCAAAATTGCCTCTATCTCCATTCTGAAAGGAAGGAACACAGATCCTTGTTATGGCTTGACAAAGTACATTCTTCAAATGTAGCCAATGGTAGCAACCATTCCTCAAAAATAACGAGGGCAAAAACTGGTTAAGGGGGCTACAATTCAGTACATGGGGCCAAATCCTAATGCATAATAATAATAATAATAATAATAATAATAATAATAATAATTTTAGACAAAGAATAATAAGGCTGACACTATACTTTGGAATATCCTTGCCTTGGATCTCTAGATGTTTAGCCTACTTACACTTTTTGAGTAAGATTTGAAACATCAGCCCAATGGGTCTTCTCCAGGTGAGACACAAAGCTCAGATGGGATCTGAAACGGAGATGAAGGCAAACAAACAACAACTTTGGCCAAAGAATTTACCGAGCCCCAGCACAGCTTCTGTCCAAGCTACTCGCAGCCGAGATAAAGTTTATTTCAAGTGCCAGTATTTTATAGAGTGATTTCTAAGGCATATGTGGTAATCCTTATCTGAGGTCTATGTGACCAGGACGGAATGTTTTTAGGATTTCTTGTTGGAGGACGTCTCAGGGTCTGGCACTGTATATAACCGTAACATCTGGGCACATAATATTGTGGTTACAGAATTACTTGCATAACACAAATGACAGATATTAGTAAACAACGCAGGCTATGGGAAGAGTCAACTATTGTCAAAATGGAGGTGGCCAGCCTCCCTATAACATATCAACATACAGCGGAATTTTTAATCTCTATTTTACACCAATATCACCAGCCTTAATCAAGACAGCAGATTGTGAGAGATTTGGGGACATGTATTCCCAAAGAACTGAAAGGCAAAAGGTACCCCTTGCTCTAAAGTTAAATAATTTGGGGACACCATGAAAGCTTAAGGAAGAACTACTCCTGGAAATGCCCAACACTAGAGTCTCAAAAGGTAATATGAAGAACAGCCAAAAACAAATGGAAAGGAATGCAAGTTTCTCTCAAAACTGTTTAGGTCGTAACAGCGAACACTGTTAAGATTAATAGGAGCAGTTAAGACCAAACTTTGTGCAAACACTTTGAATAATGATGTGTTTGTTTTCATATTAAACTTTGGGGAATGAATCCCTTTACACTATTTTACTTGGGTTAAACATTGCTTATATATTCAAAGCTCAATTGTGCCACCTGGTGACTACTTCCTAAATTTACTTTTATTATTCATTACCACTTTTGGTTTGCCTGTACATAAAACTAAATGTTTCTGATAGTGAGGCCTGTTCCACACAGCTGAATAAAATCCCACATTATCTGCTTTGAACTGAAATATTTGGCAGTATGGACTCAGATAACCCAGTTCAAAACAGATATTGTGGGATTTCCTGTCTTGATATTCTGGGTTATATGGCTGTGTGGAAGGGCCCTGAGACTCCTTTTTTTCTAAGACTTTTTATAACCGCCTGGAATGCTTCTCCTCCTTGTCCTCTGTCCAGCTAGATACCTTTTAGGAGCACCAACATTGGGAGGATGGTGAAGAAGGGCTGGAGAAACACTGAGTTGCAAGAGCATGTCTGTAGTAAACAATGCAATGAAGCCTGAGCTGGAAAAAATAGAATAGTTCTCCCATTTCTACTATTGGAATTGTATGAGCTTGCCTACGACTGGCAAGGTAAACACTAGTTGCTTCCAGAAGCCTTCACTTAAACATCAATGAATAGCAAAACATAGAGGAAAGAGGAAAGATAACCTTGAACCCATTTACACTGCCATAGTGTGCAGTTCAATTGTGTAGATTCATATAATGCAGTTTAACTCTATTATTGCATTATATGAGTTTACACTGACCATTCTGTGGTGGAAGTTCCTTCTTTGGAGGCTTTTAAACAGAGGCTGGATGGCCATATGTTGTGGGTGCTTTGATTGTGCTTTTTCTGCATGGCAGAATGGGGTTGGATTGGATGCCCATGAGGTCTCTTTGAACTCAGTGATTCTATGGCAATGTAGATCCAACTTCACCAACCCGTAGCCAGGATTTTGATTTGGGGGGGGGGGGGTGAGTCTGAGTGAAAGAGGGTCTACCCTAGCAAACCTTTTGTATCGTTATCCCAATACCTCCATGCATATGGGATATATTGAGTATGTACCAGTAAGGCCTTCTTGCAGACCACCATGAGAATTTGGGGGGGGGGATGAAGCCCCCCCCCCCCGGCTACATGCCTGAGCCTCAGCAACTCCCAAAATGTACTAAAGACCATCAAAATAAAAATCATATTTTTATCATCTGTTTCCGGCACAATTCAAAGTGCTGGTTATGACCTTTAAAGTCCTAGACGGCTCAGGTCCAGGCTATTTGGCTGACCACATCCCTTTGTACAAACCTGCCCTGGCACTGAGATCTTCAGGAGAGGCCCTTCTCTTGGTCCCACCTCCATTCAAGCTCAGTTGGTGGGAACAAGAGTGAAGGCCTTCTCGGTGGCTGCGTCTCGACTCTGGAACCCTCCCTGCTGTCCTTCAGGCCTCAGGTTAAAACCGTTTTATTCAGGCAGGCTTTTAAAGAGGAAGGGTTTTAAGCTCATCGGGGGCTGCTGTGATTTTGTATGCTTTTAATTATGTTTAATACTGTTTTAATACTTGTACATTTGTCTATTTTAAGTTGTATTGCAATGCTTTTAGTCGTGAACTGCTTTGAGTCTCCATATGGTGAGAAAAAGCGGGATATAAATAAGTATAAGAAAATAAAGACCATACACACAGCCATGTAACCCAGAATATCAAGGCAGAAAATCCCACAATATCTGCTTTGAACTGAGGGCCCTTCCAGACAGGCTCTATATCCCAGGATCTGATCCCAGATTTTCTGTTTTCTGGCAGTGCGGACTCATATAATCCAGTTTAAAGCAGAAAACCTGAGATCAGACCCTGGGATATAGGGCTTGTCTGGAAGGGCTATCTGAGCCCACACTGCCATATAACCCAGCAAAAAGCAGAAATGTGGGATTTTATTCAGCTGTGTGGAAGAGGCCTAAGAAGAAGAAAAGTGACGTTTTGTGAAACTGCCTGGATGCCTTTTGGGTTTTGGAGATTCAAACTGTTTTGGCTGGATCTACACCGCCATATAATCCAGTTTCAGGATGCCAATTAACTGCATTGAACTGGATTTAGGCCTCTTCCACACAGCTGTATGAAATCCCCATTGAGCTGGATTATATGGCAGTGTGGACTCAGATAACCCAGTTCAAAGCAGATATTGAGGATTATCTGCCTTGATGTTCTGGGTTATGCAACTCCTGGAATGATTCCATCAGCCAGGCCCGTAGCCAGGATTTTGATTTGGGGGGTGCTGAGTTTGATTCGGGGGGGCTGAGTTTGATTCAGGGGGGGGGGGGGGCTGAAGATCTACCCTTGCAAACCTTTTGTCTCGTTATACCAATAGCCCCATGCATATGGGATATATTGAGTATGGTGATCAGATCATGATATGAGTAAACATAACAGTTTAAATAATGTACCAGTAAGGCCTTCTCACGGAGGCCTTTGGGGGGTGGCCTTTGGGGACTTCAGCCCTACTGCCTGCCATCAGTGCTGCCTCCGAAAAATCCTGCAAATCTCTTGGGAAGACAAGCGGACAAACGTCAGCGTGCTGGAAGAAGCAAAGACCACCAGCACCGAAGTGATGGCCCTTCGCCATCAACTCTGCTGGACTGGCCACGTTGTCTGGATGCCCGACCATTGTCTCCCAAAGCAGTTGCTCTACTCCAAACTCAAGAAGGGAAAACGGAATGTTGGAGGAGAGGAAAAGAGATTTAAAGATGGGCTCAACGCCAGCCTTAAAAACTCTGGCATAGACAATGAGAACTGGGAAGCCCTGGCCCTTGAGCACTCCAGCTGGAGGTCACCTGTGACCAGCAGTGCTGCAGAATTTGAAGAGGCACGAATGGAGGGCGAAAGGGAGAAACGTGCCAAGAGGAAGGCACGTCCGAGACCGCCTTCCTCCTGGAAACCAATGCCCTCACTGTGGGAGTACATGCAGGTCAAGAATAGGGCTCCACAGTCACCTAGGGATCCACAAGAATACTGATCCTGGAAGACTATCCTACTCGTCCAAGGAGGGATCGCCTAAGTAAGCATTCTGGGTTATATGGCTGTGTGGAAGGGCCCTGAGAGTCTACTGTGTGTACAAATAATGATATTCCAAATCTGGGTGGAGGGAGGGGGGAAATCCCAAACACTTCTGGTCTGAAGCGTTTCAGATCAGGGATGCTCAAGGTGTATTTGAGATCTTTGCGGCCTTTCACACAGCCAGACCCTTTTCCTCCCAGAAGTGGGCGGAGCGAAAGGAGTCAAGCCACACCCAAGATGGCGTCCGCATCACCCTCACCGGAAGAGAGGCAGGACCACTTCCGCTTAGGGCTGTCTCCCAGTCTGGAGGGAGACTGCGCTAGCGTCATCACGGGGCGACGGGAGGGAGCGCGAGAGGCGCCTCGTGCGGGGAAGGGGGAGTGATCCCCGAAGACGTTCGTCGCAGAAGGCGCGATGGCGGCGGAGACAGACGACGAAGGCGCGGTCCCAGTTCCGGCGGCGCTTCCTCCCTTCGGCGGCCAGCTGCCCTCCTTCGAGGCGGCGCGGGCGCTGACGGAGAGCCGCTACTCCTGCCTGGTGGTCATGCCTCACCGGAGGCACGTCGCCCTCCCGCCGCGCTTCCTCCACCGGAAGCGGACTGGGATCTGCCTCCAGTTGGACGCCGAGTTGCGCCGCTTCTCCGAGAGGTCAGGGCCCGGGCGGCGCTGTCGTGGAGGTCTCTCTTAATCCCCACACAGAGGCCTCAAGGCTGGTCTTGGAAAATGTAAACACTTTATAGCAGGCATAGGCAAACTTGGGCCCTCCAGGTGGCCCAAGTTTAAGCGGCTGAGGGGGGAAAGGAAGGGGCCAGAGGCTGTTAGGAATTGTGGGAGTTGCAGTCCAAAACACCTGGAGGGCCCAAGTTTTCTCCTATCTGGCCTAAGTCCAATTTTTTAGATAAAGTTTCAGTGGAGGCACCTTTTTGCCATGATAACCCTTTCAGGAGTGAATTTTCCTTCCTAGGGGTACTTTTCCCTCACTTCATGTTGTCTTGCCCTTGTTCTTAATTATGTTTGTAAGTTGGGGGCTGCTTGTATATCATTTAGTGCTTATATTTATTTATTACTTTACTTTACTTGTATACCGCAGTTTCTCAGCCTAACCGGCGACTCAACGCAGTTTACAACAAGGGTAAAATCAGTCACAATATACAATTTAAAACACAAAAGCACAATATACAGTATTACACAACAATAACAACACAATGCTTCTCATCGCTAGAGTCATAATCCAAATTCGTCGTACATATTTCCATTCCTGTAATCGTCACATTCATTGCACTGATTAACCAAATGCCTGTTCGAACATCCAAGTTTTTAATCTTCTTCGGAACACCATTAGCGAGGGGGCTGATCTTACCTCCATGGGAAGGGCGTTCCACAGCCGAGGGGCCACCACAGAAAAGGCCCTGTCTCTCGTCCCCGCCAGCCGCACCTGTGAAGCAGGCAGGATAGAGAGCAGGGCCTCCCCAGAAGATCTTAGGGTCCTGGTGGGCTGATAGGCAGAGATACGTTCGGATAGGTAAGTTGGGCCAGAACCGTTTAGGGCTTTAAAGGCCAACGCCAGCACTTTGAATTGAGCCCGGTAGCAAATCGGCAGCCAGTGGAGCTGGTGCAGCAGAGGAGTTGTATGCTCCCTGCGCTCCGCTCCTGTTAGTATCATGGCTGCCGAACGTTGGACTAGTTGGAGCTTCCGAGCCGTCTTCAAAGGCAACCCCATGTAGAGAGCGTTGCAGTAGACATTATTATTAACTTTATTTGTACCCCGCTAGCATCTCCCGAAGGACTCGATGCGGCTTATAAAGGCCAAGGCCTCAAAACACAACATAACAATACAACACCTAAAGCAAATTAAAAACAGTTAAAGCAATATTAACAACAAGCAATAAACAATACATCAAGACACTATAAAACTGGGCCGGGCCAGAGTAATGGGTACAAGGTTAAAAGTGCTGATGTGACAGATGATATGTAAGGATTGTAGGGCAAGTGCAGTGTGCGGTGTGCAGCAATCTTAGTTCTAATAAAGTGCTTCTGGGACTTGTTATTGGAGTTTCCTATTCTGGAAAGGCACGTCGGAACAGCCAGGTCTTCAAGTTCTTTCTAAAGACTGCCAATGTAGGGGCCTGTCTAAGATCTTTGGGGAGGGTGTTCCAGAGTCGGGGGGCCACCACAGAAAAGGCCCTGTCACGCGTCCCCACCAAACGCGCCTGTGACGCAGGTGGAATCACGAGCAGGGCCTCTCCGGATGAATATTTATAAAATACATGTTTATAAAAGACCCCATAGACTGGATCTAAATGCAGACAGTTCTACTTGGGGCTCTTCCACACAGCCGTATAACCCAGAATATCAAGGCCCGAAATCTCCCACAATATCTGCTTTGAATTAGAATATCTGAGTCCACACTGCCATCTAGTCCAGTTCAAAGCAGATAATGTGGGATTTCCTGCCTTGATATTCTGAGTAATATGGCTGTGTGGGAAATTAAGTCATGTGTAGGACATTACCTTGAAAGCGACAGGTCTCGTCTGATCTTGGAAGCAAAGCATTGTCAGACCTAAGGGCCAGAGGTTTAGCACAGCTGGTAAATCACCAGCAATTATAGGATCTATCAACTGAAAGAGTGCAAGTTTGAAGCCCCAGGTCAGTGTGAGCTGCCGACGGTCAGCCTAGCTCATTGCTTACCTAAGCAATTCGAAAACAGCTTTAGCTGTAATTAGAGAAATTAGGTACCACTAAAAGTGGTGGTGGTGGTGGTTATGACACCATAAAGAAGATCAGAAAATGTTGGTGACCAAAAAGGAAGGAGGAAGTTGTGACGGCTTTTCGTCTTAGAGGATAGAGCAACAGTATCCCTGGACTCCAGCCCAACCTTCCATGGCACCAAAAACAGCTGGACACTGCATCGAAACAAACCACCTCCTTTCTGTTCTGACTGTGTATTGTCTGTACAGAGCAGCATTGAATGTTTGCCGTGTATATGTGCTGTCATCTGCCCAGAGTCCCCTTCGGGGTGAGAAGGATGCAATATAAATAAAGTGTTGTTGTTGTTGTTATTGTTGTTATTATTATTATTATTATTATTATTATTATTATTATTATTATTGCAAAGCCTAGAGAAGACAATTATGCTGGGGAAAGTAGAAGGTAAAAGGAAGAGGGGCCGACCAAGGGCAAGATAGATGGATGGCATCCTTGAAGTGACTGGACTGACCTTGAAGGAGCTGGGGGTGGTGACGGCCAACAGGGAGCTCTGGCGTGGGCTGGTCCATGAGGTCACGAAGAGTCGGAGACGACTGAACGAATGAACAACAACATTATTATTACATGGATATAGGCATATATTGACAGAAGATTTGAAGGCATGCACACACATAGGGACCATTGCGAAAGGTGATGATAGATGATGTGACTTGCAGAGATATATGGTATTGTATCACTTCTTTAGGAAAGATCCTCAAGGGTAGGACCCTTTAACTCATAGCTGAAATCTTCTCTATATCATTTTAAGTAATTCTGGTAAACAATGCTACTCATATGTATTGTCGAAGGCTTTCATGGCTGGAATCACTAGGTTCTTGTAGGTTTTTTCGGGCTATAGGGCCATGTTCTAGAGGCATTTCTCCTGACCTTTCGCCTGCATCTATGGCAAGCATCCTCAGAGGTAGTGAGGTCTGTTGGAATAGGAAAATGGGTTTATATATCTGTGGAATGCTGGGGTGGGGCAAGGAGCTCACAAGCCACAGGAAAAAACTGCCACGCCATCAAATGCTAATCAAGGTGGTCAGTTGATTCACACCTAGCTTCAACCCTGGTCATTCCACAGATATATAAACCCATTTTCCTATTTCCAACAGACCTCACTACCTCTGAGGATGCTTGCCATAGATGCAGGCGAAACGTCAGGAGAAATGCCTCTAGAACATGGCCCTGTAGCCCAAAAAAAGCTACAAGAACCCAATGCTACTCATATCTGAACTTTTTTCCCCTTATAAACTCCACAGCTAGGTCTCTCTGTAGTTACATATGCGCGCACACACATACATGAATTCTGTAATCAAAAGTACCTGTTCTTGTTTCTACATGACACTCAGAAGAGGGCCAGGCAATCTTATCTGTGCAACCATTCTGTAAATAGGATTTGATCTCTTTTACTCTGGAAATCATTCATTGTTTTTCAGTGTATGTGTTGATAGCTTTCTTTATTTCTTGCAGTTTCCAAGGTGTCCCTGTGGCGTATGATGATATCAAAATAACCAAAGAACTGGGAGATATAATAGATGACATTGGGGCTATCCATCTGGACATTGAAGCAAGTTTTGTAGTCTTTCAGCCTCAAGCTGGAAGAAAACTTGTGGTATGTAGACAAAGAAAAAATATATTTCTAATGAGTATAATACAGCATCTCCATTGATGAGTACAACTACACTGTGAAAAATCTAATCACTGAGTGCTTGAAGTTAACTGATTTACTATTGTGTGTGATAGCTAAGCCTTTTTAAAGCAGGCTTTAAAAACAAAACAGTTTAGTTATACAAATTGAATATTCTGTATCTGACATTTGTGGAACCAGAAGTGTTTTGAATTTTGGATTCAGGAATATTTGCATATAATGAATTCTTTTGGAGATGTGAATCAAATTTTAACACATATGCATTTATATTTCAAAAACACTTTGCACTCATAGTCTGAAAGTAATTTTATACACAATATTTTAACTGATTTTGTGCATGAAACAAAGTTTGTGCACATTGAATCACCAGAATACAAATATAACTACCTCAATCACCCATTTGGATTTATTAGGATTTAAGAGATACTCGACTTGTATCTAGTACTATGCATGCTTAAATCCTTAAAATCAGTTTACTTGGATATGCCTAGCTAGAATAACAATAACAATTTTTATTTCTTGCCTGACTCTCCTCATGGCTTGAGGTGGGTTACAATATTGCTAAAACACAAATATATCTAAAAACATTCTTTAAAATACGCATAACATATTTCCATAAAATGCACAAATTGAAATATATTTCCATAAAATACACATATTAAATTACAAAAATTGTCATTAAAACTGTTTGGGGTAGGCTTGCCGGAAGAGATAGATCTTTACTTGTGTCTTAAATTGCGACAGCTTACCTAGCTGTCTTAGGTCTTCTATGGCAGGTTATTCCACAGTTTTGGGGCAGCTGATGAAAAGATTATCTGAGTGAGGGTTGCCTGTCAGGTTCTAGTAGGCAGGGGCAGACACCCCCCAGAGGACCTAAGTGTTCGGGGCGGATTGTACAGGAGAAGGCGATCCTGTAGTTAACCCGGACCCAAACCATGTAGGGTTTTAAAGGTCAAAGCTAATACTTTTTACTTTGCCCGGAAACTTGTCAGCCAGTGGAGTGACTTTAGTATGTCTGTAATATAGATATGATAAGCAATCTGGCTGCCATATTTTGAACGAATTGGAGTTTCTGAACTTGGTACAAAAGTAGCCCAAAGTTAAGCGCATTGTAGAAGTCCAACCTTGAGTTTAGCAGCACATGCACTACCATTTTAAGGTCCTCCAACTCTAGGAAGGGGCACGGCTGGCGGATCAGCAGAAGGTGATAGTAAGTACTCCTGACCATTGCATCTACGTGGGCTGACATTTGGAGAGATAGATCCAGGAGCACTCCCAAGTAGCAAGCACAGTCTTTCAGAGGTAGTGTAGCATCTGTTGACACACCTTCATCCCCAGATGAGGACTCTTGATGGCATGCACCTCTGTATTCAGTTTCTGGATTTTGTTTGGATTCAGTTTCAATTTATTTTCCCCCATCCAGCCCATAGAAACACTGATTATGTCATTTTTCTAAATATGTCTAACTGGAAATACTGTTATTTCAATCAGTATACATTCTGGTATAGAACGGTACCAGAAAATGTCAACAATTCTCTATAAGTAAGGTATAAGCCATTTGTTTTAAACTGTTTCACAAGAAGTAACGGGCTGTATAATTTAAGAGTAGTAACATTACAAACTTTAGAGTTCCATAGAAACAAATACTTCCTTTGCTTCGAGAACAATATTTTGCGAATATTTAGTGTTGAATCTTTAGTGATCAGTCACAGTCTAGCTAGGATTTTGCAAATCTCATATTTCAAACAATTGGATTGCTTGTTGTGATTATTGAAGTGTGTGTGTATTCAGTTACATACTCTTTTTATATAGTTTATTAATCAATTTTATATACCGCCACTCCCCGAAGGCTCGAAGTGGTTTACAATACACATATGCGATACATTACATTTAAAATCAAAGAAAAGTTGAAAATGTAAGGTGTTTTTCTTCAAATAAATGCTGTGTGGTTACAGATGGGCCCACTTCCTGTGGTAAACATTCTATTCAAGAAGCAAACCAACAAAGCTGCCTTGGAGACTAAATCTTTTTGTAATTGCTTATTGTATGATTGCTTCTTTTAAGCTTTCTCCATGTTGCATTTCCCAGCTGAGTTTGCATATAATCTACAATATAATGTCACAAAATACAATTTCTTTGTCATCCTCCTAATAAATTATCTCTTTCCAGGGTATAATCAATAAAGTGGCACCTAGCCACATAGGTTGCCTGGTACATGGATGCTTTAACGCTTCTATCCCCAAGCCAGATCATCTCTCGATCGATGAATGGAAAAACCTTGGTTTTGAGATTGGCAACACGCTGGTGTTTAAAGTGTCACATTTTGATTCAGATGCTGCTGGAGTGTTCTGCATCAGAGGAAAATTGTATAGAAACAGGTACACTAATACTATTTTATTTTTTATAAAGTACTTAAATGAGATGAATTTACTTTGGCATGAGTGGATATTTTGGATTGAAACTTCCATGATTTGCTGCAGTACCACAGGCTAAAATGGTTATGGCTGATGGGAGCAGGAGTTCAACATCATTTGAAGTGAATATCTCTAGGAAATTTTGAGGTCCCCAGTCATGACTCTGTTGTAATTTCCAGTGGAAGTTGTTCATTCCAATACGGTCACTATTGCCCATGGTTTGCTGTTTTCATTCTCAGTTTGGGAACATATTACGGCTATGGGAATTGTACTGTGCTTCTCAGGTTGGCCAGAAGTTGATTTTCTAAAGACTGGAGCAATGGGTTTGTGAAATCTATTAAAATTTGAAAGGCATGGGAACATGAATGGGACTAATATCTCAAAAAGCCATTTAGTAGTGGCAAGTGATTTGTGCTCTTAAGGATCTTCATGTTGTTCAGTCTTAAGATTTGAAGAGACATTCTAGGTATTGGCTATCGGTTATGCTTAAAATGAACGTTAAAAAAACACAAAAAAGTAGACTCAGATTTTGTGTGCTTAATAGAGCTCTATTACACATGCCTAAATTACATTGTCCCAATTCAAGGTGCAGGTTATCACTTATAAAGCTCTAAACGGTTCAGGACCTGCCTGTCTTTGTGACTGCAGCTTCTCCTACAAACCTTCATGATCTCTAAGATCCTCTGGAGAGGCTCTGCTTCTCGCTTCTGGTTGGTGGAGACGAGAGAAAGGGCTTTCTTGGTTGTCACTTTGGAACTCCCCAGGGAGATCAGGCAAACTCCCTCTCTGTCTACTTTCTGCAAAGAGTTAAAGACATGGGTGTTCCACTATGCTTTTGAGTAGGTAATTCCTTAGATAGCTGGCCCCAGCTGGGATTCTAAATTTTGTCCTCACACTTTACCATTGCTCCTATCTTTACTGCTGCCTTATGACTCATGCACTTTATCTATTAGCCCTATCCTTAAGTTATTGTTGCACCAGTCCGCACACTTGTGATGATAAACTGAATTTTGGTATTGGTTGTTGATTTTGATGCCTGTTTTATACTGTTATAATGTGTTGTTTTACCTTGTTTTATATTGCTATGTATTTTAATGTGTCATATTTTAACTGTATTGATCAGGCTTTGCCCCATGTAAGCCGCCCTGAGTCTCTTTGGGGAGATGGAGGCAGGGTATAAAAATAAAGTTGTTGTTGTTATAACACGGCAGCCCTTAAAATGTTATACGGGAGGCCAGTAGATCTCTGATATGGAATCAAATATCAAATGGTAGCATCCTCCACAGGCAGAAGTCAGTTACAGGATCCATATGCACAAAAAGCAGAAACAGACAGTATAGAAAGTTGAAATGAAGTAAATAAGTAGATCTAATTGTGAAAGTTAATGACGATAGAACCTCTTCTATTCATATAATGTTGTATTGGTATATTTAGCAAAATGATGATTTCTTACTACATTATATCACTATTGCATTATCTCTCTAACATAGCACTGGAGAAAAGATTCCAAAAGAAAAGCACAAGAAAAAACACGAGAAGCATCTTGATGGGCAGAATGGTATCGAGGAGATGGAGATTGACTTAGCGACTACTGACCCTGACAGAGAAATGGATCCCAAGGACATTGATAATGGGATATGTGATATGGCAGATACAGAGGCTGGTCAAAACGTAGCAGATTCAGGAACACATGCCAGTGACTCAAGCGGCTACCACAGTGATCATGCCACATCTAAGAAAAAGAAGAGAAAACATTGTGAGGAAGACAATGGACTCCCTGCATTCTCACAGTCAAAAGCTAAAAAGAAGAGAAAAGAATGAGAAATAGAGTAAAGCTAAAGTGCCTTCAACTGAATGTGGAACTCATCTCTCAGGCTGGATCTATACTGCCTTATATTCCAGGATCTGATTCCAGATTATCTGCTTTGAACTGGATTATATGAGTCCACACTGCAGATAATCTGGGATCAGATCCTGGGCTATAGGGCAGTGTAGATCCAGCCTCAGATGTATTATGCTTCATTTTAGTGTTAATGGTTTTTTGATTTGCAGTTGTTTCATTGGAAATGTTGCATACAGAATCACGTGGAAGACTTATAAAAGCAGTTAGCCAAATATGAAAAAGGGAATTGTGTTTTTTGTACTTTGTCAGATTTTTTTCCTGAAATATGCAGATTGTTTTTCATCAGAAGTGAAAGGAGCAATGCTTGTAATGGAGGTATATTGCAAAATGATATCAGAATGATATCAGATATCGGGACACATCTTTTTAAAAAACCAAAAACACCACAGACCACCAGATATCTAACAGAAGAGAGGGAGTAGGTTTGTATACCATTTTGGGCATGTATGGATGTTTTTGAACAGGAGAAATATGACTCATTATTCTGGACATTTTCTCTTTATAAGCCTACCTCTAAAATTTCAAGTTGCAACTGCAATAGTCACTGTGGTAATAGTAATTACGTCTTCAGGGTTACAGGTAATATATGTATCTGGAAGAGCTATAGCCTGTTAATTTTGCCATAAAAATTGGGCAGCTCCCTTGAAGAGGAATTCCTCTACGTTCTGTAGATTAAAACATGTGGTTTTGTCTTGCTTTGATGAATAGATAGTACCATTGTAGCAAAAATCTCTAGATTTTAATGTGGAATCATCAGGGACTACCAATTAGGCCACCAAGGTAGCATTAATTCCTTAAGGTTGGAGAATGTGAAGTACTAAAAATAACTAGCTGTTGATTTTGCCATCTGAGATGTACAGGAAGGTAATCTTCAACGGTAAGGAAACAGTATCCCCCCCCCCCCCCCAACCAATCACTGATATATATCTTCTGTTCGTTGTGGGAGTTCTGTGTGCCATATTTGGTTCAATTCCATCATTGGTGGAGTTCAGAATGCTCTTTGATTGTAGGTGAACTATACATCCCAGTAACTACAACTCGCATATGTCAAGGTCTATTTTCCCCCAAGGGCGCCTCAAGAGCGCCCCTGGGCAAAATCAACTATACTTTGCGTAATGGGTTGAGCCACCCCTGTGTACAGGAAATGGAATCCAGTATGTGATGAATGATAGCTTTATTTCAAAATATGGAAACCATTGTCGCATAGAGGAGGAGGCTGCCTTCTCATTTTGCTAGTGGAGCCTCAGCCCTCTGCCCCAAATGCCTTTCCTCATAGCATCACCTGCTTCTACTCAGATCTGACTCTCAGTGTGAATTAAGATGAAGATGGTATTTAGTGCCAAACATTATAAAGGACTCATCACTCGTGACAATAGCTAGTTCAGGTCAAGGTCATCTTTTTAATTAGATGCTTCTAGTATACACTTCCTTCCATGCCACTAATTCTGATGTAATGTTTAATTACATGTGACTTTATTGTCCTGAAAGGGGAAAAAAAGATCCCCACCCCTCAAATGTCCCTGAATGCTCTTGGGATGGGGTCCCCCCCCCTTTTTTTTGGACTACTGTGGGCATTTTTATAAAAGCTTTTTTAAAAACAAACTACGTTTCCCCCTATCAGCTCTCATTTTTGAGCTACAGAACCACTCTTAATCTGCTTGCCCATATAAAACCATGATAACCATATCTAAGAAACTAGAGCTGATGTAGTCTATCCAATGCAATTTTCTGAATCAGTATCCCAAATAACCCCAGGAACAGGCCTAAAGAAAAAGATACCAAGATTTTTTTGACTGGGTTGCAATGCTTTCATGTCACTAAATCTCTTTTAAAGAAGGTTTATCCTGGTCTTGAAATGACTGTGGTCAGAGAAGGTATTTGGGGACAAAAATGGGGAAACTGACATTGGGAGCCACCAAAATAGGCCTTGGGGCTGCTTTAAACCTTTTGACCTGGCACAGATTTTGGAGTTTTTAGTCAGACCCATTTTCCGATTCTAATAAGAGTCATAAAAACTTTTGAAAATATATTCTGGTTTTATATGAATTTTGCTTTTTAAATCCAAAATGACCTGATTTGCTCCTTGACATACAGGTTTTTTTTCCTATTACTTTGTTGTTTGTGTGTAGTTTTCACTGAATGAAAATAGTATAAAAATTAGTAATGACTCATGTGAAAAAACGTGTGATAAAACATGTTTATTGTGGGGGACTTTTTTCAGATTCCATACCCCCCAAAACATTAAAAACAGCTTAAATATTGAAAAGTAATTTCATTGCAGACTCTGAATTGGTACTTTCTTCCTCTCAAAGGTGTTTAAAGTGGAAGGTGTAAGGCTGCAAATCGCATGCCTGGGGACTAAGTTCTGCAGATACAATGGGTTTTCCTTCTTAAAGGGCACATATGGGTTAGGCCTATAACTTTAAATGTAAGATCACTTGCCTCCTGTACAAGGCAGTTTTTTTTCACCTGACTTAAAACATGACATAACCTTATGTTTAGAACCATATGTGGCTCACCGTGTCCAGCAATGAAAATTGTACAGTTGGAAATATTTTAGATTGCCTTTGAATCACAACACTGGAAAGCTACTACATTTTCATGATTATTGCTTTATTTCCAATAGCTATGAACAAGGGAGCTTCATTTGATCCACATGCTACAAAAGGTAACACAATCACCAATAAAACTTTGCCATCCTTGCTGTAAAATTCTTCATAGCCTTTCCTTCCAGAAGGGAGAGAAGTTCAGCTCTAATAGTTTGCAAGGCATTATACCAGTAGTATTTCAGGGTTCTTCTGGACCTTCTGTATCCAAGACAGGCACCATAGTGGTTATCGAATTTTAGCACTGACTGCAGTACTGATAGGAAGGAATCAAGTGGCATGTGAAAACAGATTAAAAGTATTTTTCCAGTGAAGCCTTCCTGATTTTTCCATAGATGTGTAAGTTGTATATAGATTTCTCATAGTTCCTTATTCCTGCATCATATTTCTAGGGAGACAGACCAATAGACAATGTAGCTTAAGCTTCACTTTCTGGTGCTGTCTGAGCTTCACCTCTTATTCACAGATACATGGTTTAGGATCATAGAGTTTATTTACGACCTTTCTACCCCGCCTTTCTAACCCCGGAGGGGTCTCAAGGTGGCTTTACATACAGGCAACGATTTGATGCCTTGAAACGCAATGTACACTTAAATAAATATTAAAATATAATTTAAAAGTACATTAAAAACAAAACATTTAAAAACAATACATTCAGCGTTAAACATGTAATCCATGAGCTAATCTGGGCCGTTCTAATGGTCATTGCACTTGTTCCAAGTCTATCTATTGCACAGATTCTCTAAAGGCTTGGTCACAAAGCCACAAGTTGGAAGAGACAGCACAGGCCATCCTGTCCAACCCTCTGCTATGCAGGAAAAACAAAGCACTCCCAACGGATGGCTATTCAGGCTCTGCTTAAAAGCCTCCAAGGGGCCTCAGAAACACTCTGAGGCAGTGTGCGCCATTGTTGAACAGTTGTCATGGTCAGGAAGGGTTTCCTAATGTTTAGGTAGAATCTCCTGTAATTTGTAACCATTGCTCCAAGTCTTCGTCTCCCAAGGCAGCAGAAAGCAAGTCTATTCCTTCTTATGACAGCCTTTCAAATAATTTAAACATGGTGATCCTGTCTCCTCTCAACCATGTCATCTGCAGGCTAAACATACCCAGCTTTTTAAGCCACTTCACCTATGGCATGATTTCCAGACTTTGATCATTTTAGACACCTTCTTCTGGACAAGTTCCACCTTGTCAACATTCCTCTTGAATTGTGGTGCCCAGAATTGAACACAGATTATTCCTAAGAGTTCTACAGGTTCTGTAAGCTCTTTTCTCATAAAGGAACTTAGTGAAATTGTTTTGGAAGAAGGGAACACTTACATCTCTTATGATATTTTGATACATTGGATGATTTTTTCTCTAGGTAGTCCTATTATATCTCAAGTCCTACTGATTTCGGTTAACTCTCGGCCCAACCACAAGTCCTGTCAGGAGTGGTTGAGGGACCTGGGTAGGTTCATGTAGAACAGGCAATAAAAAGATAAGACGATAACCATATTCAAATGAGTGTCACATAGTTCATTGAGCAACTTTACTTTCGGATTTAATAGGACAGGAATCAATGGGATCATATTCCAAGAGAAAAGGCCTTCAAAAGAGCCTCCTGGTTGTGGAACAGATTCCCTTGGAAGGTTTTTAAGCAAAGGCTGTGTAGGCACTTAATCAATGGGTTGAGGCTGGTGATCTTAGAGATCTTTTCCAATTGTGATTCTAAGCCATGTCTATCATGTGAATGATGAATAAAATATGAGAACGTTGCATTCATGAGACCAGTTATGGTACTTTATGAACCATTTTATTAAAGATTTATAATGTGCTAAAATGAAACTTCAGAGTTTCCGAGTTAACTTCAGAAAGTATTTTCCATACAGTCTCAAGTTCATACTGCGTCATGATTTGTGACTTTTATATTAAAATATTAATTTATTCATGTCTTTCTCTGCCAAAAGACACTGTTAGGTGATGTCTAGAAAGACCTTTAAACTAAGCCTATTGTGATTTCATTGTGGAATTACCGAGCAAAAATATAACTGTATTCCATGCAGGTGTTTGAGGGCTTAAGTAAAGCCCCTTGGAGTCCGTGGAAATGCTTCCCTGAGATTTAGCAATATTTTAATCAATAATTCCATTACGTTTGACTGCATTTATGGTCCATTTTTGGAAAAAAAAAAGTGTGATTTCTCAATGCTAAGGTGAGCCGCATTGCAGAATAAAATGTGAAAGCCCAATCTAGCCATTATTAATTATTAATGTTGCTTTGTTTTCTAAATCATGTTATCCTGTAATGTGTTCTCATTTAGGAAAAAATGTTCCAGTGTGTTTAGGCCATAATCCAAATAATAATTTGATTTCCCCTCCCTTTTCTTAGATTTATTAACTCATGCCATGTAGCTTTGACATTAATGTGGTGCAAAAAGGAAATACCATAAAACAAAGCGAAACATAACGACTTTTTAAAGGTTGGTATCCTGTTGGAACATTGCATGCTTCTAAGTATGCTTGCCTTTTCAGAAAACAAAATTGCAAATATGTGTCCATATCTAATAAAAGGCTATTATTATGCGACTTCCTTCATTGACTCTGTCCATCTGCAATGCACTCATTCTTTTTTCATA